ATACTAAACTAACCTCAGCTCACACCATCCACGCAGCGGACCCCATACTAAACTAACCTCAGCTCACACAACCCACGCAGCGGACCCCATACTAAACTAACCTCAGCTCACACCATCCACGCAGCGGACCCCATACTAAACTAACCTCAGCTCACACTATCCACGCAGCGGACCCCATACTAAACTAACCTCAGCTCACACCATCCACGCAGCGGACCCCATACTAAACTAACCTCAGCTGACACCATCCACGCAGCGGACCCCATACTAAACTAACCTCAGCTCACACCATCCACGCAGCGGACCCCATACTAAACTAACCTCAGCTCACACCATCCACGCAGCGGACCCCATACTAAACTAACCTCAGCTCACACCATCCACGCAGCGGACCCCATACTAAACTAACCTCAGCTCACACTATCCACGCAGCGGACCCCATACTAAACTAACCTCAGCTCACACTATCCACGCAGCGGACCCCATACTAAACTAACCTCAGCTGACACCATCCACGCAGCGGACCCCATACTAAACTAACCTCAGCTGACACCATCCACGCAGCGGACCCCATACTAAACTAACCTCAGCTCACACTATCCACGCAGCGGACCCCATACTAAACTAACCTCAGCTCACACCATCCACGCAGCGGACCCCATACTAAACTAACCTCAGCTCACACTATCCACGCAGCGGACCCCATACTAAACTAACCTCTGCTAACAGCCTTTTCACTACACCAACCACATGTTTTCATCTCTCAAACAACAGAAAGCCCACAAAACACCCTCACCAAAAACCGAACCTGTAACAACTGAACCAGTGGATACTGCCGACCAAAACACCCCTCACCTTAGGAGCTACCATTCCCCTGCCAACCACACAGCACCAACATCAGCCTAACACTAAGAGATCCTTAACTTTCCTGAAACTCTTCGCCACCTTCCCTAGAGACTCCTCTCAAACAAGGACTGAAGATTCCTTACATGAAAGTCTTCCTAAAATAACGTCTGTAAGAGAATATTCTGACGTGTGAGAACTCTGATAGTATAGTATTTATATATTTATTTTATATTTCTTTATATACAAGAAGGTACATTTTATATTAAAGCTCTGACTGAATGCATTGACAGCTTGATTGATAATTTAAACAAAGATTGATAGACACCATACAGCAGATTGACAGCACATACTAGAAAACCAACCCGTTCTCGCAAATGTAATAAGTCAATATTGACTTATTAAATATGTGCATAGGTGACATACTTAACATAATAGTTTCCCTTGAAAAGCTTCATAGAAAACACCGACCTTACCTAACCTACTTAGTATGTTAAGATAAGCATCTTATTGCTTCGTAATTACAATTATTACCTAACCTATACCTATAATAGGTTAAGTAACAATTGTAATTACGAAGCTATAAGATGCTTATTTTAACATACTAAGTAGGTTAGGTAAGGTCGGTGTTTTCTATGAAGCTTTTCAAGGGAAACTATTATGTTTAGTATGTCACCTATGCACGCAACTAATAAGTCAATATTGACTTATTACATTTGCGAGAACGGGTTGCGAAAACAGCAATGATCACAATAGTAAAGTTGTTTTAATTGGGTAGTAACCATGAAAAATAAAGATGAATATGTCAAACAAATAGATTACACTTCACACAACGGACACCTAAATTGTTGTTTTATATAATGTTAGAGGCAAATTATAACATTAACACCTGCAGGCCCCGTGGCGAAGTGGTAACACTAACGCCTGCCGTTTCGCGAGCTCTTTGACCTGGGTTCGTATCCTGGCCAGGGAGGATTGACTGGGCGCCAATCCTTAACTGTAGCCTCTGTTCACCCAGCAGTGAATGGGTACCTGGTTGTTAAACGATTTGGCGGGTCGTATTCCGGGAAATATTAGGATTAAGGACTTGCCCGAAACACTATGCGAACTAGTCGTTGTACAAGAACCTAACAGCTCTTGTATATATTTTTTTTTGAGATATATACAAGAGTTGTTACATTCTTGTACAGCCACTAGTACGCGTAGCGTTTCGGGCAAGTCCTTAATCCTATGGTCCCTGGAATACGATCCCCTGCCGCGAA